GATAAATTCATAGCAAAAACAACTCCAAAAGAGAAACTCTGCAATCATTGCAATCGTAGTGGAGAAAGCAGTTACTGTAATAAAACATAGTTATGGTAACATGCACGATAGTCTTGATGTCGTAAACTGAGCAGCAACTGCTCTCAACTGAGATTCTGTGTGTTTTTCCACACAGTTACCACTGTGCTGTGTTTAAGAGTGTGTCAGATCTAGCTACATCTGAGGTCACAGTAGGAAGTCTAGCTGCATGTCTGTAAGGAAGGATACACACTGGAATAGGTAATAGCATTCCAAACAACTTATGGATGGTCATCTTGCTGACTTACATGTATGTGGATGTGTGTATTCGTCATCAGTCTGGGGCATTAGAAAGTCTGAAAGACTATCAAGAGTCTATAAAGTCTTAAATGGCACAAGAATGCTGGGAAAGTCAAATACTGTCTAAAAAGAAATATTAAAAATTGGCAACATTAAGATTGCAAAGCAGATCCTGAAAATTGGGTGACCTATTAACAAACAAACAAAAAGCAGACTTAACTGTGAAGCAGAAGACTTAAGCCCTTTGTGACACTTGGTTAATTCTCTTTAGGGGTGTTCTCATGAAACAACAGCTGGTGCTGTTTTGAGAAGTGTTATTGGAGCTCTAACAATATGAAGATCTTTCATACAGGACAGAATACAAAAGGCATTCTTGAGACAATTCCAAAATATACAGAAGAGATTGTCAGTTTAACAACACTGCAGTTAGTGCTGGCTCAGTTAAAAAAAAGGGGGGGAGAAGCTTTTCTACTGTATTTACTTGCATTTTAAGTAGAAGAAACTCAGCAGATGAAAGGACTTTTAAATTTTTTTTTTTTTAACTTACCAAGAAAAACATGAAGGGAAGACTGTGGAGGATGTTTGCGTCTGCAGATCTGTCATGGATTTGGTGATGAAAATTTTATCTTTTTTTGGATGAGTTCTAAAAATCACTTGAACTCTCAAAATGTCCATTCAAGATGGAGATACAGAGATTCAGATTGGTTGTCTGTTTCAAAGTGCAGCACAGCACAGCCCAAAAGGCTTGGTCTGGGAAACTGCAGTTCTGCGGACTTCTGATGCCTGCATAGTAACATTATTTTGTGTAGTTGAATTTCTGGCTTTTGTTTTTATGCTTTTCAATAGTGTGTTAAGTTAAATAAGTTCTGAATGTTTAGAACTTGAGTATTTTTTTGCTTACAGAAGATGCGTTATACTTGGAGGACTGTACAAATAAAATCTATCCTGCTCTATGACAGTGAAACCTAAATGTTTAAGTAGAGCATACTGAAAAGGTGTTTGTCTTAGTAAAAACCATGCCATTAAAGTTCCTGAAGGCTACTTTTTCTTCTTTTTTTTTTTTTTTATAATCAATGACCAGGAGGAAAAAATGTTATGCTGATCCTTTGTATGGTTTTTTTCCCCTTGTCTCTTAGATCATACATTATCATGTTCCAATTAGTGTTATAAAGATAATAGACATACCTATCACAGGGAGTAGAGTAACAGGTCATTACTACTGCTGGGGTAAAGCAAACGCACTGTTACCCAAGAAGTGACACTCCTGCAGGACTAGCTCTTTCCAGGCAACAAAGTTTGTCTAGACATGACCTTTATTCTCTGTCAACATGACGATAATCTGGCAGTAACATCTCAACAGAAGATACAGTTTTATTAGTCTGTACATTTCTTACTGATAAGTTGGAAAGTATAAGCTCCTCCAAGCTGTCAGTAGGACTTTCACTGGAAAACACAAATGCATTTCCTAGCATTGCATTAAAGGCAGTGGCTTATAGAAATCCCTTCCCAATAGTTCTATTCTGTAGTAATTTTTCACAATCTAGAGGTATTCCTTCAGTCACAATAAAATGGACTTTTTCTAGTCTGCTGACTCTTGCGATCATGTTGTGGGACAAGTAGAGCTATTTGGGATAGGAAAATTGTAGCCTAAATTTATTAGGCGAAGATTTGAGCTCTCACTCTGTGTTAACATGTTACTGAGTTGCGATGCATGGTTAGACCCTAGTCTTCAGATGCTTTATAAGTAGAAGCATTTTAGAGAGCTCTCTCAGAACACTCATAAGGGTACAATACTGACGTATGTGACAGCATGTGATAACTGCACACCACGTACTTTGAGTGTAAAAACTTCTTGAAGCCTAAGAACTGGGAGCAAATAGAACAGTTACATTTGAACAAGATTCTGGAGGTCTTCACACCTGTAACTCTTGTTTTCTGTATGAATTACATTTCCTGTCTTCCCTTCTTTCAACACTTCTGCTTCATCTGAGAAGTATTATTTTCTTTTCCTGCTAATCACCAGTCCCTTCAGAACAAGTGAACATAGTAAAACAGTGCTAACAGAGCAATGGAACCAGTAAGTGATCTAAGAGTGATGCCGATGAGGTATGATGTCAAAGATGATCATAAAGTAAAGCTAGTAAGATCAGAAAGAAATAAAAAAAGAAATAAATGTTTATATACACATACTGTGAAACTCACTGGAAGCCTGCACATCATTCATAGAACTACTTCAATGAAATAAAATTTACGTTGTGACTATTTACAATGCTTCTTTAGTAACAACTCCCATTCCTCCTCTTCTGTGTATCAGTTTGATGTATCTGTTTGCAAAATCCTGTTTCTTTTCTGCTTGCTTTGCTGATCCGTGGTTAATCTTTTTAGAGTGGTGGTGGGGTTGTTGTAGTTTAAGACCAAATGACAGTGTGGAGACTAAATTAACTCAAATACCAAAACACTTTAATCACACATGCATCCAATTTTGCAACTTCCATGTTTGGTGGGAGATGTGATGGACTCCAGAAGAAAAATCGTGAGGATTAGTGTTGTGGTTCCAACCCTGTTGCACGTAATCCTGGTGCAGGATTAAGGGGTCCCCTGGGTTCTTTCCCCTTTTGTTCTGGGTGCTGTCAGTTACAGGACTGGGTAGTAGAGAATATTTGATTCTCATTTGGCCTTTTCAGGTTTGCTCACAGCCAGTGAGCTGTTGTCATCACTGGCGCACACAGTCTGCTTGTCTCAGAGGTTCTCAAAGTATGTGTTTCTTAGCATTTTCGTAAATAAACTATAAAAATGTGATCTCTAAATCTGGAAGAGAAAGGTAATTTCCCTTGTCCTGAATAGAACAAAAAGCTTTATTGCTGTGCCTGCTAAGGGGGCGGGGTGGGGGGGCAAATATAAAGCATCAAAGCTTAAACAGTAGAAGCTGGAGAAAACAAATTTGAATAATATGGGGAGAATTGTCTGTTAATTGTATGCTGTAGGTTGGTGTTCAGCCTTTTTGAATTTGCTGAAGTTGTTTTGGGTGAGTTCAATATCCTTTGGTCCTTGTTCCTGCATGCTTATAGGTATTCTTACCTTTTGCTGTCAGTGCTGTCTGAGGCTGCAGCAAAGGCTAGATTGAGAGAGAAGTGATGATGCTTTCTTCTGCTGATTGATTAGTCCAGAGTTGGAGTTTAGCCCGTTTTTATACGGAGGTTCACTGGGAACAGCTAAATGGGAGTAAAATACTTATGTGAGTGGCAAGTGGCTTTTGCCCTCATTATTTGTCTGTTGATGGTTTCTACTCTCATGCAACACCTGCTTCAAAGTTGGTAAACCCCCTGTACAAGAAGGAAGCTATTTCAGGTATTAGGCAGGTGGTGACAGATGTTTTTTCTGTTATGTCTGCTAGCCACACAAATAATTCATTTGAGTTCCAGTTACGTTTATTGGTATTTTTAAGATAATTCCAATTTACAGGTAAGAATATGTACTCTAAAATGTCATACCTAGTCCCTTGGTGGATATGCTCTTACTGTCTCAGGGCCTTTCTATATTTGAAAGAATTTTCTGTATTTGATTACTCTGAGACATTTTTAACTTATCCTTTTGTGTGGTTTTAGTTTAATGGGAAGGAGGTATTTATTGGGAGAAATTTGCTGACAGGTGCACCAAATCCCTGTATCCTTCCCCCAAAAGTTGGATTAGTTTTCTGTGATACTGCGTGTTCTTCCAGTCCAGGTGGTTTTCATCATCTCCAGCCACATTAGGCTTGAATTCTGTTTAAAGTCCAACATTAGCCTATGTGATTCTCTTTTTTTAGGGTCCTTGGTTTATTTAATCATAAAGCATTCTAAATGGGTTGTATCAGGTTTAATTACGTCAGTTAAATAGAGAAGGTAAATTATAGCAGTTGAGAAGCCATAGGAGAGGCATTACAGTGTTTCTTAAGTCCCACTGAATGAATGTTGGAACTAAACTGTAGAAGAGTAGTTTTACTGTTGCTATGCAGAACAGTATTCAGGGTTTGGATTCAGATGCTTAAGCACAAAATGGATGTTATGAATACTTAACCTGAGGAAGTGGATGTCTTCTGTAATATACTGTTGTTTCCTTATTTTGGTTTATCATGCTTAGTAAATCACTAAAGTTTGAATATGTTACAATTTGTTAAGAAACTGTCATAGTCTGTTGAATTTTTTCTGTGGAGAGGATAGCTTGATCTTAATACATCTGAAAACTTAACATTTAAATTACATGAAAAGTTTTGATTGTAATTTAAATCTCCTTCAGGTTTTGTTTATATCTTGAGAGTGACAGATTGAATGAATGAGGTTGATTGTTGATGTGTTGTTTTTTTAAAGACATTATTTGATAATCAGATCAATGCTTCAAAAAAGGAAGACTCAGAAAGCATTAATAAAAATGACACTTCAAAAAAGATGTCTGTTGAGAGAGTTTATCAGAAAAAGACTCAGCTTGAGCACATCCTCCTCCGTCCAGATACCTACATTGGGTCAGTCGAACCATTAACTCAGGTAAGTGTCACTAAGTTTATGGCCTTAATGGCTTTTGTTGTTTTAATAAGGAAATTACTGTTCTGGTTAGTAAATAGGCACGTCTCTAATTTTCTGAGTATTCTGAATTATCATGCTAAAAACTGTGGTTGTGTTTATGTGTAGGAAGGGGTCAAGAGAAGACTTTTTAAAGTAGTGCTTGGTTCGCCTGAAAAAACACGCTCAGAAAATGTTGAAGTTCAGTCAAAATATAAACAAACACCTATATGTGTATATGTGTGTGTTTGCAAACATGCCTATATGCGCACAAATATATATACATATTTGTAAGTTGCATTTGCTCTAGGTCCGAAAATGCTTTGGTCTTTTGTTTAGGTAGAGAACAGAGAATTTAAGCCTCCTGCTGGCATTTTTTTTTTTCCTGCTGTTTTTGTGAAGTTGCAGATTGCTTTGAACTTTACTGTCTATACTGTTGGAGGTCCCCACTGAGCAGAAAATAACGGGTTTTCATTATGGAAGTCTTTGTGGGTACAGTTGTAATTTTTGCCAAATTTCTGCTTCTGCTTTTGTCTCATATGATGGCAGCAATCAGATTGGAAGAGTAAAGTTTCTGAAGTAAACAGATCTTAGAGAATCACAGGCTGCTTTACCAAGACAGTAAATATTTTGTTTTATTTTGTTTACATGTAGCTAATGTGGGTTTATGATGAAGACATAGGAATGAATTGCAGAGAAGTTACCTTTGTTCCAGGCTTGTACAAGATCTTTGATGAAATCCTTGGTAAGTATTTTTAACAATAATACTGCTTTAGCATTATGGAGTACACACTTTTCTGGGTGCTCTCAAAGCACATTAATTTGTTTCTAAGTTTAAATTGCAGACTTAGACTCCCACTAAACTGCAGTGCATGAAAATTTTAGTGCATTTCAGCTCTATAGAACAGTTCAAAGAGGGAAGAGTTTTCAGTTGAACTTGTAAGGAAGTGTAAATATTTGTTACTGAATGTCCAAACTAGATCATTCTTTATGATCAATATTGTTAGAAGATTTTTAATCTGCAAAGTTGATTAGGGCTCTGGTTTTAAGTAACATTTGAAAGGAGATTATTCTTCTGAAAGAAGACAACTGAAAGTTGTCTAAATGTTAACTTACATCATAATTTCGTGAATCGTTAGAACTACCCTCTTCTGTACAGGATGATGGTGGTGATGGTGGTTCTTACAGGGATCATTTCTAGACTTCAGACAGTTTTAAAATGAATTAAGTATTCTACTGCTATTCAAAAGCATGGTGACTGAGGCACAAAAAAAATATTTTTAGAAAATTCTGTCATAAGTTCCTGACTCACTGTGTGACTTCCTAGTTTATGATATCCTTTTGGTGAGAGGCACATATTGAAGACTAATCAGTAGTAGAGATATGCAGCATCTAAATAGTGTGCTGTCTGCTGAACTGATGTTTTAGGTTAATTGACATGAAATCTTGGGCTAATCGGTTTTTATGAAGTTATGTTGTAAGAGTTGGTGGGATTACATCATAAAGTAAATTATGGTCTACTGAGGTCAATGGAAATTTTGTCATGACCTTCATTGAGTTCGGAACTTCTCCTCACATCTAAAACTATGCTTTACAGCGTTGCTGTCTTAGAGAGAGTGAAGGCCGTAACTTTGCTAGGTGGGAAAGGACGAATTTTTATTTTTTACTTATTATTTAATTTGAGGAATATGGGAATGAAAATCTTTCACCACTTCTTTTTGAGTGCTGCCTCATAGAGGACATTTACGAGCTTTTCATGGGAGGGAGTCCACTTCCATCTTGTCCTATTCAAAAGGAAGATCATTATCATATCATTATCATAGTACTGAATGGCTTATTGCTTCTTTATGTAGCACTGATGAGTGCTCCACAGAGTGTGGTTTGAGACCTAGGGGTCAGTGTAATAGCACTATGAAAATTGGACATTGCAGCTGTGCGTACTTTTGGATGAAACTGCACTTAATGACTTTAGCAAAAGCATTCTGATCAAATGTTAATTTCCAGTTGACATTCTTTTGATCCTAAACTGTGTAAACTGTTTAGGAACTAGCTTACAACTGTTAGTTAAAAGTCTTACAAGCTTTTTAGAGATAACTTTTGCTGCAGTCAAACACTCCTTAATGTGGACATGACTTTTTCAGGATTGGATTTCAGTGGCAAAAGGATGTGTAAACTGATCTGGTGGTGCATATAATTTTCTAGGGTGTAATACGTGTAATAAATACCCAAACAAGCACAGCAAGAGAAGAATGAAGTGCTCAGTATGTTAAGAACAGTTATGAGAACAGGCTTACAAAATGCACTTATATATTTGTTTCTTAGATAGTCTAACTGCTAGAAATAGAGTCAGTAATTGTAAGAAGGTTGAAAAATATCTTCTTACAAATACTTGCTCGTATTTATAGACTTCAGTAATAAGATACAGGATATACAAAGAAATACCACATTAAAAAATACCTGGACCCTTGTAACATGTGGTGGAATATGTATACAATCAGTTTTACAGATCAAGTAATTAATTATTGCTCTTACAAAGTGTTAATTTGTGCTATTTTGTTTCATAGTAAATGCTGCTGACAATAAGCAGAGGGACAAGAATATGACTTGTATTAAAATATCCATTGATCCGTAAGTAAAAACATGTTTTCTTTTCCTTTCCCTGCCAGTGCTATTGTAGGTCTGATTTGTACAAATGATTTTAGTAAATGAAATTGGATTTTTTTAAAAGCAAAATAACATTTTTGGAATTATTTCCATTAGCTTCATATTTTAAGATGAAAAGGTGAATTAAAAATGGTTAACAGTAAGTACTACCATTCTGAATTTATAATAATTTGCTTTCCTAAACCACTCTTTAATGTTTGATTGAATGAAACTTAAAACCAGGAGATCATAAAATTAATTATTAGATGAAAGCTTGGCAGTACATAACTATAACCAGCCAGGTATTCATAAATCATAAATACCAACCTTGAGGTTTTGTAACATAATATGCACCTCTTGAACTTCTATGTTAACTCCTTTAGTATTAGGATAAGGTTATGTTTGAGTTAGTCAGCTGTATCACACTGAAACTCCAGACTGAAATATGTCATTACCACTGTTTTTTGAAATTGAGTACTTAGAGATACTTCCCAATGAGAAGTACTCTAGTTAAATAGATGGTGATTGGGTTCCTTTAGTAGTACTTTTCCAGTGACATTTAGCTGAATAATAAATGTTTTAGACACCTGATTTTTACACCTAATCTTTAGGATAAATATGCTGAGAAGTCATTTTTCTGCAAGTTTTCAGTGCGTTATCAGTTTCTGTAAACCAGATTGCTTTTATCATGGAGTGGGAGGGAAATGGTAGTGTAAATCTGCCTGACCTGTCATGATTTTGAGCTCTCTAATACTACAAACTGAAAATCCTATGTGAGAGCTACGAGTATTAACGATGCCAAATGTTAATGGATTTTGGCATTAATGCATACAAAGTTACAATGTTTATCGTAACTGGGAAATAACAGTTTTAAACCTATGATAACTTGGCTGTGTCTGAGTGGACTTCAATGAAACCTAAAAAGCTGTGTCTCTAACTTGAGTGTAATTCTGTCAGTAAACTTCAGGATTCTATTGCAGATCACGTTGATAGTGAAAGCTCTTCAAACAAATTTTTGGGGATTGTTTTTGTGATACGAAATACTGTCACGTATGGACAATTATGTTCCTCCTTCTAAGACATCTAGTAAGCACAAAGAAGTGGGGTTTTGTAATTAAAATTGATAGAGCTGTGAATAAACGTGGTAAGAATATGGTCTTTTATCATATTTTATGTAGTTAATTAAACAGGTAAAATGTATGCAGGAGTCTTTTCAAAATTACATTAATTGGCTTAATGTCTTCACTGCTTTATAGGGAATCAAACATTATCAGCATATGGAATAACGGGAAGGGTATACCAGTTGTGGAACACAAAGTAGAAAAAGTATACGTACCTGCTTTAATCTTTGGGCAGCTGCTAACATCCAGCAACTATGATGATGATGAGAAAAAAGTTACAGGCAAGACTAACATGCTTTGTTTTATTCAGTTAAGCCATTGTTTGCTTTTCAGTGTGCTTTCTTTTCTTTCTTTTTCTATTCTGTTTCATAACAGATGATTACGTATTCACCATTACTATAGCTCTTTGCTACAGTAAAATGACTTAAAGAAAGAAAAATCTTTTTCTTTTAATACCAGTGTTTACAGAGACCTTTGCATTTACATCTTTTATGTCAGTAACAAACAACATTTTCATATTTTAATTAAAATGTATGCAAGCATTTAAACATTTATGCTCTTGAAGTGAACGGGAAAATTAAATTTAATAAATTAGGATGTGATTTATTATCCTAAATGTAAAGTAAACCTAATTTAGATCATGAATGAAAATTAGTTCTGTTCTGTCCTATACCACATATTTTGCCCATATTATGAGGTCTGGTTGCAGAGTGATTTGGATCTGATCATGACCTAATTTTCATCTGGATCAGGGTGTTGGGGTCACTTGCCTTTCAGCAAGCAACTGGTAGATCAACATAAGGGTAGCAGTGGGAGCATCCTGGCTTTGGAGGGAGGAGCAAACTGCTTATTTTGAGGCAGAAGCAGTTGCACCAGATTGGAGGTAGTGTGAAACTCCATCTTTGGCATCCTTTGATAGCTGTTGACGTGTGGCCCAACTTCTGTCTTACATAGGAACGTTTTACTTTATTGGCATATTCTCTGTATATCATAAATATGGTTCTGCTGTAAAAAACTTGTTTTTTTCAGGTGGGCGCAATGGCTATGGTGCAAAACTTTGTAACATATTTAGTACAAAGTTTACAGTTGAAACTGCTTGCAAGGAATACAAGCACAGCTTTAAGCAGGTATGGAAATGATCTCAACTTTTCCTTTGCTGTAATTATAAATTTAAAATTTAACACTTTTTCTATATTTTATGAATCTTTCATGAAATGAATCATTTAACATTCAAGTGGATGTGTAGAGTTTACAGGCTAGTTAGTTCAGTCAGTAAAATTGGTACTTCTGTGTATTAGAATTTTTTTTTGTTAAGTAATATTTTTCTTGGGAGCATTAGGTGACTAAGAATAAAAAATTTCCTCTGTTAAAAACAAAGTATATTCAGTTGGAAAAGAATATATTTCATCGAAACATTTTGTAATTGCTGTTATATAATTTGTCAAAAAATCATTCTGCTTAGATGTGCAAACACGGAAACAATTATCTAGACAATTTTGTATAGTGTTAAGAAAAATATTTTTCAGTGTTTGACATGAATTTCATTAGCCGAACTGGACTTCAGGGCAAAACCCCCTCCTTCCCAGTGGGAACCCATTGCTCACTGTTATCCTTGTTAGCGCACAGACCAAGGATTGAATGCGACCTGTTCTACTGTGTATAGCTTTGAGACAGCCACCTTTCTAAAAGTTTGAAGAACTTTGGTAGAGTGTTAGATACCAGAGTTCCTTGGCTTTGGAGTCTTTCCCACTTAATGGCTTCCTTCTCTTTTTTTATGGACAAGTAATTAAGTTCTGCTTATGCTGTCTTGTCGCTACATAAACAATACATTTCAATGGTTTTAGCTGTCTGTTTAAAAATGTGGTATTTTCTGCTGACTGCCAGAAGGTAAATTGATATTGATTTGAGTGTACATTTTGAAAATGACACACTTTACAACTTAAACACAAAGTGCTACGTTTTCCAGTATTTTCAAAAATGGTGAAAACGAAATATGACTGAAATTTGACACATGCTGTGAGTAGGTGTTCTGCTTGTGCCTGTGTTCTTAAACAGGGAACAGTACTAAGACTCCTGAGTTCCTGAGTCAAGTCTGAGCAAGTTGGTTTGTCAAGAAGCGTGCTTTGGTACACTGCACAGCCACAAAGATGCTATTTGAGAGACTACTGGGTCTCTGCACAGAGACTAATAAGCCTCTCTATAGAAGTGTGTAGAAGACTGAAAGTGTTAAACTGATGGGCAATAAGGATGTTTTAGCAAGCTCACTTGTATCTAATTTAGTCGGTTCTGTGGTGGGCTCTATTTGCATTACAGTCGTGTCTGTCAGTGTAACCATACCTGCGTATTTATGGAAACCGCAAATCTGCTGTCACCGATGCTCGTGCAAGTCTTGGTAAAGCAATTAATTTTACCTGTGGAGTTTTACCAGAGGAAACTTCTAAAAAGAAATCTGTGAGCTTTTTGTTGCGTAGGTGTGGCAATCCTAGCATAGCTGGAAAATGGAACAGAGGAGGAGGATAACATATTGTAAACTAACATCTAAAATCTTTTGTTTCCAAAGACTTGGATGAACAATATGATGAAGACCTCTGAACCCAAGATTAAGCATTTTGATGGTGATGACTACACATGCATTACATTCCAGCCAGATCTATCTAAATTTAAAATGGAAAAACTTGATAAGGATATTGTGGCCCTCATGACAAGAAGAGCGTATGATTTGGCTGGGTCATGCAAAGGAGTCAAAGTCATGTTTAACGGGAAGAAATTACCTGTAAGAGCCTCATTTAAAATATTTTAAATGTACTGAGTATTTGATGCAAAGAATAGTAATTGTTACCTGTATTACTCATAGGTAAATGGATTTCGCAGTTACGTAGATCTTTACGTAAAAGACAAGCTGGATGAAACTGGAGTTGCGCTCAAAGTTATTCATGAAGTTGTGAATGAACGATGGGATGTGTGCCTCACTTTAAGTGAAAAAGGGTTTCAGCAAATCAGCTTTGTAAATAGTATAGCTACCACAAAGGTGAGTAGTTATATTAAATTATAAAAAATGTAAATGATAAAAGTGTGTGCTAAGGTTATGCCCCGTCAGATATTTGACAAAAAAATAAATCTGAGTTGTTAAAAATAAATAGGTGAAATAATCCTTTGCATGAGAGGATCAGGAAGAGCAATTGGATGCAATCAAAGTATATTCATAGCAGTATTTCTGAATATGCACTAGTTTTTAAAACACTAGTAATCATTATCAGTAATACTGATGTCTTATGTGATATACATGGTATCGGTTAAATATAAAATGAACTATTTTGCTCCTTCCTTTTTAACACATTGTAATAAAATAATTCTGAAATTAACGTAAAAATCTGTACAAACCCCTTTAAAGCAATTAGTAGCAAGTTTTGGAGGGCAAAAATGGCTTTTGATGTTCTTGAAAAATGGCTTTCTGTTTATTGCTTTATGATGTATAAAACTGGCCTGAAATGTTGTGATTAATTTTGTTTTATTTGTGTTTCTGTATAAGGGGACCTAGGTGTTCTCTGTACTTGCTAATGCAACTATAGTAGCAGTGAAATGGTATCATAGCAAATCTTTAGTTACCATAAAGCAGCAATATGCTGGGCCTACTAAAGAACAATCTTCGTGCTTCTCAGATTGCTGGGGTGATCAGGCACCAAGGCAATCGCATGAAATCAACTAGGGTACCTCTCATTTATGCCCGTTTGGCATGGTCCAGGTTTAGGGATCTGGGATCCACCATGGTGAAAGAAAGTTTTTGTCGTTTCTGCTCTTCACAAATTGCACTGGATGAGGGATCTAACAGTCAAGCAATTCTAGTCATCTGTGAGGCTATTTTTAGTCAGTCTTAACCATGAGCTTCCCAAACAATGAGAAAGATAAGAATTTGTAATCAGACACTTCAAAAACCCTCCTTGCTCAGATCTCTGAGAAGAGTCAAACAGGAAGATTCTAATGGTAGCACAAGTGGTTCATAAGCACCAGTGTTAGACTAAGTGGAGTCCCTAGTCTAGGCAGGTGCCCAGAAGTATCAGTGTTAACCTCTGTTGTAGGTGATGTGTAGCTGGTGTTTTGGTGGTGTATAGTTTTTACTACATAATTTCTTCCAGTGTAGCTGAACCAGTGTTCAGTGGTAAAGGGGGGTACTTTATTTCATTGTAGACGATCTACTTTCTAAGTGTGCATTTTAATTAAATGCTTATCTGATACTTGTCAAAACTAGGGATAACACATGTATCTGGTAGTTGGAAGGTTAACACTTGGTTTTAATTCAGGCCTCTTTATGCAACATAAAGAAGAAAAATAGCACGAACTTAAAAATGTGTACAAGACCTTTATGAAGAAGCTGACAATGTAGAGAAACTTAATAACGTTTGATGTAAGGTTAAGAAACGTATTTGAAAAACTTGGGAATTTATTGACTCCTAAGTTAAATATATTGCATACACTTTCTCAAAAGATTTTGGATTTGACTGTTTTGGATCAATTTTCACCCGTCATGCAGTTACACATACATTGTTATCATGTATTCTTTTAAGAAAATTCATAGAAAAAGTACTGTGTATTCTTCAAAGGTAAGTGTTGTAATTTCTAGTTTTTCCCACTCTCCCGATCCATGCCTTATGTGTGTGACTGGATGTGGAATGTTCGGGGCCGGTGAACCACCTCACCAGCAATTGATGTGCAACTACCCACTGATGAGACATAATGGCTAGTAACTAACTGCGTCAACTGCCTGTCCCCTTATCTGCTAACAGGTGAGGAGCTCATTTCAGCTGTTTTTTGGTTATTTATCGCTGTTTGCTGAAAGCTTTTCATTTCTGTTTCTGGATAAATTTCACCCAGTTGTAACTTCCCTTCCACCTTTTTTAAACGTGCAAGTTTTTTTTAGGTTGGCGGGGTTGTGGTTTTTTTTGAGGGGTGTGTAGAAGGTCAGGCAGTATGTTGAGGCACACCTCCCTTGTTTTGTTCTAGTAAATTTGTTACCTTGGTCAGGTCCCCATTTATTCACAATTTTGTCATGTTAGATCACCACGGAATTTGACTTTAAGCTCTGAGGCAGCATTTGAAAGAATGTTTGTAGCTATTATGGTTGTGCAGATAACGTTTAGTGAGACTTGTATATAAACTAATTAAACATGGTGTTCTCAAGTTCTGAATTTCAAGTAGTAGCTGTAGTAGAAATTCTAGTGGAAACTTCAGTTATTAACATAGCAATCTAGTGATATTTTTAATGTGGCAGCACTGCTAACTCTCGTACTACTAATCATTTTAGCAGAAATGCTCAGCTAATAGAGATGCAGTGTCAGATGGTAGACTTGTGTGGAGGGAGCATCCCAACCTTTTAAAATTTGCTGGAGTTGAGCAAGAAATTCAGGACCATTCCAGAGCTTGATATTTTCAGATTTATTCTAATAAAATAAATATGATAGAAAACAAATACAAAAGTAAATAAGATTTTATTTATATAGCTAATTAAATGAAAACTTCAAATTTATAATTAGCTTCTGATTTGTTTGCCATATGAACCATTTATCCATAGAATAGTCCATAGAACTTAAACATGGCTTACCTCAGAATTAATTGAGGCTGTTGGCTATTGATGAAGATATGAATAGAATGTATGTAGGAGCCGGTCTAAGCTTCATTTTTAAAGATTTTAGTTGCTACCATTTCATTAGATGTCTTTGCATCCTGAAGTTTGGAAGACTGGGATTCAGTCATAATGGTTACCTTCTGGGAAAAGAAGGTTATTATGCAGTTTTAGTGCTCTTTCTCATAACAGAGGAGTTGTAATAGTCATTGACAGCCCTCTAGATTCAGCGGGTATTTTTCTTTTCTGTCTCGTATTAAAGTGTACTGACAGTTGGGGCAGTTATAGGCTGTTATGCTTCTATAGTGGGTAAATGTGCCACCTACTGGTGAGATGGTTGAAAGGTTCCCAACTTTGAGCTCTGAACATCCCTCACTCATTGCTACACACTAAGAATGGACACAGGAATGGGGAATTCTTATAGTAACTGATATCTTCTAAGAAGAAGAATTGCTGGTAAGTAGCTATTTTTTGATATGTCCGATGTTACTTTTGGCAAAATGTTTGAAGTGCTAAAATTGTAAAAAAAAAAAAAACAAACCTCAAAAAACCCCTCTAAAGTTGTAAATACAAATATATACTGAGATACTCCTGTAAGCATAAGTTTTCAGTAATGTGATGAGTAAAAATAATACATTTTAAAACTGCCATTCAAATGTGCAGTGTTTTTGAAACATGTAATTTGGTATTTTTCTGTGGTAGCTTTTCTTTGCAGTTTGGAAATGGATTTCTTTTTCTTTAAAGTGCCAGGATATCGATGCATCAAGTTTCACTTGAATTCTCCCTGTGCTGAATCTCTGTCATCCATATGTGAATAAAACTCTTGTGTTTTGATTTTGGTGGTTTTTGGTTTTGAGGTGGTTTTTATTTGTTTCTTTGTTTTTAAGAAGAAATGCCATGAAAAAATACTTGTGTGTATGGTGCTTCTAAAACACACTAGTGGTTTATGTTACTGTTTAGTAGATGACTCTCGAGACTGACAGAAACTATAGATGGTTTCTTTGAAGTGCAAGTACTCGTTTGGTTATGACTATTAATATTTACCATCTTAAGCCATTTTTTTTACTTCTTCTCTCTCTTTTTATTTTCATCTCTACTTTCTACATGAATTTGAGAACACAGCTACTATCTCCCATCAATTCAACCACTTTACATTTTTTCAGATGCATACTCTGCCTTAAAATGTAGATATCCTAACTTCTGGGTTTTGCTTGTTAGTTGTTTGTTCTTTCTTTCCATCTGTCTTTTTGGCTCCTGGTGTTTTGTTTTGTTTTCCGTTTCTTATTTCCTATCTATCCTGTAGTTCCACATGCCCATCAAAAGCTTTTTTTTTTTTCCCCTCAGCGCTGTTTTTTAAAACAACTTTAAAAAAGGAGGGGATTTTTGTTTGTTAACTCATGATTAATGTCTCTATAGACGTATTTTCTTCATTTTGTCCGTCCTAATGCAAATTTTTCTGAACAGGAACCATTATTTAGTCCTATTTTTGTAAGGCATTAATTGATACTAGGCAAAGGTGATTTTCTGTGTAAAATATTGAGTGTTGAGTTAAGTATGTTTTAACTGTATAGGATATGTCTACGTCACTCCGTTCTTTGGTAAAAGGTGATAGATTTTAATCAAATAATAACCAAATTTCTGTAACAGTCACTAGAATTTAACACTTTTTTATTATTTTTACCTTTTTGTCTATAATTTTAAAGGCATTTCAATTAACAAAAACTGTAAACAGCTTTCAGATATCCAGGTCTTTAGGACCATTCATATTTTAGACATCTTTCCAAAAAAAGCCTGCTATTTTACCTGTAAGCGAAATTGTGTCACCTTGGACTGGTAGATATTTGAACATATTTATCATCATTAGTTTAGACAATTCCATAGAATTAAAGACTACAGAGTATATACCTCCAAATACTAATTGTTCTTCCTAATCTGGAATGTTCTACCTATGATAAAAGTTTGTGCTGTTTTGATTCTGATGACTGAATTATTATTATTTTGAGTCGGTGCTTCTGATTCAGATTACTTCTGCATTGTAGAATATACTCCATAATTGTTAGGTTTCTTTTGGACATGTAAATCAGTAGTCATTGTTAGGATGTAACAGACCTATAATAGACCTTTTTTTTTTTTTTTTTTTTTTTTTTTTTTTTTTCTCCAGAAAGCTTATGTGGAATGCTTCTGTGTTCCAAGCAATTTAATCTCAAAATTACTTGGCTTCTAGCACTATGTTTTGGGGTTAGTTTTTTTTGTAGCTGGTTTAAAGTCTGAAGAGAATTGTAGCTAGAAAAGGTGATAGAAGCTTTGGGGCACCTTTTGAAGGTGTTAAAATGCTTAGTGCTTCCCTGTTTAGACTGAATTTCATCAATAGTAAACTCACTATTTAAACATTGAAAATAATCTCTGTTTTCATCACCCTGCCATATTGCAAAGTGTAAGCTATATTTGGCTTCAAAAAGGTGACTTTTCTGACTTACTACTACCGAAGTTTAAATACATAAGTATTTCTTCCTGAGGATCTGTTGTGCTAGAGATTGTAGTTGGGAGGTGAATACGTTGCCTCTGCCAAAAGTTTTCTTGCACTAATGGCTTCACTTGAAATGTCTAGTGGGAAAAGCCTTAACCAAGGCTAACCAGTACTGAGAGTCCCTTTTTTTTCTAGGGTAAAGAGAACACTTGTGATAGACACTGTGAATGTTTCAACTGTCACGGTGCAACAGAGGAAGAAAATACAATATATTCTTTCCCTTTCCCTTTTTTTTTTTTTTTTTTTTAAATTTTTAAATTGACTACATTTCATTTACACACACCAGAGACTCCTCCAAAAGGAACTATCTGACTTGTGTAGAGACTGTGAGGGAGTCCAGCTGTAGAGACTGTAAGGGAGTCCAGCTGACTGCTCTTGTTTGCTACAAGGGAGGCGGGAACATAATTAGCTACAAGTTACTGTTCTGCAGCCTCCTATGGGGTTGGTTTGACAGTTGATGGTTAACTGCCTGCTCTATATGTATCTCTTGTTGCTACATGGGGCATGAATTTGGAGCAAGTTTAGCCTCCGAGTTTTTAAGGAGAACTGCTCATCTTGTTAAGGTTGTCTTGCCCTCTTCTTTTAGTTTTCTGGATCTTGTGGTTGGCTATTTGCAGTTTGCTCTCCATTTGCCCTCACATAAGCCCCAGGCTAGCAAAGAATGCTAATAGCATTTATTCAGAGAGTTCTGTAAATACAGCTAAGAAAAGGTGAGATGACTTTTGGGAAGGGGTAGGCATAGATGCTGTATATTTGAGGGTGAGCTCTTGAACATTATTTTTTTTTTTTTATGAGCCAGATGGGGAAAGTTAAATTTGCTGAATGAATGTGTGATGGTTTTAGTCCAAGGTTATTTACATGCCTGTTAAAAAGATACCTCTGGGCAGCCGTGTGGTGTTG